CCCTCTGGCAGCCCGCGATCGTGGAGGAACTCGATGTACTGCTCCAGCGTCAAGTCCCAGTCGGCCGCTCCCAGCGACGGCGCGCGTCGAAGGCGCAGCCGAGCCAGGGGTCGCCGCAGCGCTCGCAGGTAGTTCTGCTGGGTCGCCGGCGTCGCCGCGGCCGCCGCCAGGGAGCCGATGTTGAAGCCCATCCGCTGAGCCTCCACCCCGCTGTTGACGGCCTCGTTGAGGGCAGCACCAGGTCGCTGACGTGCCAGCGCGCGCCTCGCCCTGCGGCCTGCACCCGCCTCCCCGCGATGCGGCACCAGCGCTCGGCCCGCCAAAGGCGCAGGCAGGCTCGGCGGCAGCGGCCGCGGCGGCGAGCCCCCCGCGTCCGCGGCCACCTCGGCGCCCCCGCCCTCGGGCTCCAGCGGTGGCGGCAGCCTCTGGCTGGGGCGCAGCGCCCTGACCTCTCGCGCCGTCGGACGAGCCTGACGGGGCCGGGCTGCGGCAAGGGCCCGCGCAGCCCTCGGCGGCAGACTCGCCGAGTGAGCTGCCGTCCTCTGCCTCGGCGCCAGTGGCGCGGACAGCCGCGAGCTGCCCCCGAAGGCCGCCGGCACCAGCAGGCCCGCGCAGGCGCGCCTCGGCGAGCGCGATCTCGCGCAGCCCGCGGGCACCCAGGGCGCCAAGGTGGCCGTCGTAAGCATTCTCGAGCCCACGTGGCAACAGAGGAGCAACGTCCGATAGATGACGAGAATCAGGCCGTGCCTCAAGATTGGTGTCGTACATGCTTGTGCTGCCAGGTGTGTCATACTCGTGCAACTGAGGTGAACTGTGATAAATAAACCCTTGCTCAGGATGATGTGAATGATGAGGTGTGGTCGGCGTAGAACGTAACGAACCTATACCCAGAGACTGGCATGAATGAAAACCCTCTCCAGTGCCGACATCAAGAAGACGATGGAAGTGACGACCATGGTGTGACGAAGACGGGTCATACCTCCTGCTGGGTTTATCTGCAGAGTTCCACTCGGACGGGATCCAACGGAAGGCCACTTTCGCTCCCAAAGACAATGACATAGCACAAAACTCACGGCACCTCCGAAGCAGGTACCAAGCTGAACTTCGACCCTTGCAAGATGTTAGAACCCATGCCATCGAATCTGACAAGACAAGATGCCGTTGTTCTGCGCTCCCGCATGGACGTGCCAAGCGCCTGACCTGCCAAAGAGCCGCCTCCGCCTCCAGCGCCAAGATCTTGCCCCGGCGACGCCAGCGGCAGGCGGCGACCACGCGCCAATCGCCACCCCGCGCAAGGTCCGAGGGGACCTCCTGGAATGACGCCTGCAACCCCAGAGCGCAGAGCTGCGCGTCCGAGGAGCAGGCGACGCCCTGCCAGGAGGGCTCCGCCGTCTCGCCATCGACGAGGTCGCGCGGGCGGCGGCTGGTGCGCAGTGCTCCTCGGAAGCGGCCGCGCTCGGAGGCCCGCCCAGCATCGCCGACCGCTGCAGCATCCCAGCTCTTCTCCGTGACGCCGAAGCCGTAGAGGGAGGCGTCGACTGAGGAGACGAGCGGGCACCGCGGCAGACTGACGTCGGTCAGGGCGAGCGGCAGCAAGGCCCATGCAGCGCGTAGCTCCCTCCGCACCGATGCCCACACGCGCGCGGGCTGCGCGAAGAAGCGATCTGCCGAGACATACACCGCCGAGAAGACCGACAGCATCTCAGGGCGCAGCGTGCCCGACGACGCGGGCAATCTGACGGCCCGTGCGTCTAGCCGAGCCCCAGCCGAGGGTGCGCAGAGCCAGCGCCACCCGCCAGAACTTACGCGCCGCGGGGCGCCAGCGGGTGCCAGTGCCATCCAGCTCGAAGCCCAGCAGCGGGGAGCCAGTCGGCTCGGCACCAGCGTCAACACCCGCGGCAGCCACAGCAGCCAGCATGCCCTCCAAACGCGCGTCGGCCTCCCCCTGCGAAGTGGCGATGGCGGCGAAGTTGTCGATGTAGATCAGGGCAGCGCTGGGGCCAGGCCGAACGGGGGCGCGCGGGACGCACTGGGCGAGCAACCGATCTGAAGGCGTGCTCTCGCGCAAGATGTGCTGCATGGCCTGCTCAATGAAGAAGACGGCCCAAGACCAGCCCGTCGGCACCACCCGCGGGCGCAGCCGCACCACGCCGTCAGGCGGCCGAGCGCCCGCGCGCTGGCGAGCAGACGGCGGCAGGCTGGCCCGCGGCACTGGCGGCAGACCAAAGGCCTCCCGCAGGTGAGCTGGCAGCAAGAACTGGTAGAAGCAGCAGGTGACGCCGCCCTGCGCGACAAACAGGCGCTCGCGCGCCGGCACCTCCAGCGCTGCCAGCGCCTGGGCCGCCGCGAGCGGAACGCAGTCGGGGTCCGTGAACGACATGTTCGAGCCCCGCGCGTCGAAGATCAATATGAGGGCATTGTCCTTCTTGTAGACGAAGAAGGGAGCCACCTGAGAGAAAGCAGCGCCAACCTCGAGCATGTCGCGCTCCAACAGGTCAGCCAAAAACCTCCCATAGGCAGCTGGACTGCGTGCGAGCCTTCTGTCAAAGGCCAAGTGCGCACTCGACGCGGAAGAAGAAGTCGGAGAGTCCTTCAGTAGCAAGGCCCCTGTCTCACCCATCAGCAAAGAGCGGGCCTCAGGCGGCGGGACATCTGCCAAGTTGACCACCCCTGAGGCAACGCGCGGGAGCGAGACCTTCCCGCGCTGGTAGGCGGCGTACTTCCCGCTGGAGGCGTCGTCGAAGGCGTAACCAGCATCGGGGCCGATGACAGCCAGAGTGGCCGCCTCGGCGGTCAGGTCCGACGGGCAGCTGGGCACGGCGTCGAGAGCCGCTTCAGCGCGTCGACGTGGATGCCAGACGCTGGTCCAGCTCGCCGAGCGGTGCCGCGCCCTCCCATCTCATTGAGGGTTCGCAGGCCAGCGCCAAGCCGCTCCTCGGCGGAATCGCCAGGCGTCCGGCGATCCAGCAGCGGCGCGGCAGGCAGCGGCAGCAAGTCCCTAGGATCTGCCGCGGGACCTGGCGGCGTAGTGGCGGCGCAGGCGGTCGGCCACCTCCCCACGCGTAGAAGCGAGCCTCGGTCGGGGGAGCCCCGAGGCCGCTCCAGGATAGCGCGAGTGGGTGGCAGGTCGCCCCTGCCCGCCCGCGCCGCTGCCCGCGGCGCCAGTGGTTCCGTCCTTATTATTCTCCTTCTTCTTGTTCTTGTCCTTGTCGCCGTCGAGGGGCGGCCTCTGAGGGGCCGAGGGCGCTGCAGCCGCAAGAGTCCTCTCCTCCCGCCCCTTGCGGCGCTCCTTGAGCGCCGCTGCCTCCTCCTCCATGCGCTTGGCGACTCAGCGCTCGAGCTCGGGCGACGCCAGCGCGCAGCCCTTGGCGCGGCCTCCTCCGAGGAACAGGTGGCGCTCCGCCGCCAGGCCCGCGGCCACAGCGCCCTCGGTAGAAGCTCGGATGCGCTCTGCATACCGTTCTTCCCAAAGCTGGTAGCGGCGCGCCAAACCCTCGAAGCGGGCCAGGTTGCAGATGTTGAGCTGGTCGTACTGCAGCGACTGCTGCAGCGTCTCCTAGAGGAAGAGGTGCTCGTCGATCCCTGGGTCCGAGGTGGTGGCGCCGAGCGCCTGGCGCCACCAATGGTGGCGAGGCACCGGCGGCATCCCGCTGCTGGCGAAGGCCTCCGCCAGCCAGCGCACCGTGCGGGGGCCCTCGATGGGCCAGGCGTCGTCCAGCGGCTCCTCGCGCAGCAAGCTCCGAGCGGAATCGAAGCCACGAACGCGATCGCCACGAGGGTTGAAGGCCACTGGCAACGTCCTGATGTCGTCCTCCACCAGCGGCGCGGCGTCACGGGGCGGGGGCGTGGGCGGATCACGGCAGAGACGGAGCCAGACCCCATCGCGCTGCAGCAGCGCCTGGCCATCGGCCCCGAACGCGACGTCACCCGCCGCCACCGTGACTGCCTCTCCGCGCCTGAAGGGGCCTCCGACTCGCCAGCGAACCAGCGTGAGCCCACCACGAGGCACTGCCCAGCCAGCGTGCCCGAAGCGTAGTAGTCGGGGTCGCCCTCGACGGCACGCGCGGCGCGAGGGCCAGCACCAGGAGGCCCATCAGGAAGCGGAAGATCATCGTCCAAGCCGCCAGCACCCATCCCAGCAGGCGCGGCCTCCGCCAGCAGCGCCGCCAGCTGCGCCTCAGCGCGGCGCCGAAAGGCGCTGTCGCGCGCCATGTCGCCAGGGCGGAAGGCGTAGCGCAGCGCCTTGTTGCCTGAGAGGCGGTTCGGCACCCCTCCAGCGACGCCGCTCTCCAACATGTCCTCGTAGTCGGTGAGCAGCTCCTCATATGTGTCGCCGTCTGGCGTGACGATGATGTGCCCCCCAGTCGTGGCACGCAGGACCAGCCGCTCGTGCCAGACCGCCTCATCGCGATCAAAGAGCGCCCAGAAGCGACGGCCGCTCTCCAGCACTCGCCCATCCATCAGTTACCGCCCTCCAGCAGCCCACGCGCACCAGCTGGCAGCGTGAGGCACTTGGCGGCGGCCACAGGCGGCAGGGGCGGTGCCGTGCTCGCGGAGGCGCCGCGCCAGAGCCGAGCCAGCAGGAAGCCCGTGGCGAGCTGGCCCAGCGCGACGGCCAGCACCACCGATGTCGGCCAGCCAGGAGCGCCGCAGTCGCACTGGCAGCCGCAGACGGGGGACACAGGCGGCGCCGACCGCGCCAGGAGACAGAAGGAGCCAATCGAGAAGAGACAGGCGACCGATGACGGATCTACCGGCATCCTTTTGCCGGGCAGAAACAGGCGTGATGGGGTCAGTGGCAGCAGCGGTCGTCAACATTACCATTGACATTCGCACGCCGACGCCGACGCCGACGCCGACGCCGACGACGACGACGACGACGACGACGACGACGGCGGCGAAGACGACGACGGCGGCGGGGGTGGCAACAACGACGACGACAACGCCGACAACGACGACGCCTACGCCGACACCGACGACGCTCCGAACGCACGCGGCGCCTCGCGCGCCTCCCGCGGTTGCCCTGCAGCGAGCCGCTCGCAGGCGTCGAAATATGCCTCCGCCGCCCGAGGGGGGGCGGGCCTTCTCGGCAGGCTCGACCGGCCTCTGGTCTTCTGAGATTGTTCTGAGCCTTCTCCGAAGCAGTCGTAGTCGTCGTCGTCGTTCGTCGGTCGACCCCCTCCTCGGAGGCATCGCCGAGTGGGGGATCGACCGACGAACGACGACGACGACGACGACGACGACGACGACGGCGACGACGGCGACGACGACGACGACGACGACGACGGCGACGACGACGACGACGACGACGACGGGGACGACGACGACGACGACGACGACGACGACGACGACGACGACGACGACGACGACAACTACTGCGTCTGGGAGCGTCCGAAATTTATGGTTACGTGCTTACAGTGGAGGCCCGGCCACAAGAAACCTTCCACAAGAAACCCAACCCTGAGATCCCAGGACGTCCATTGATTTCTGGTGTGGGAACGCCACGCCTCCCATCGCAAAACCATCGAAACACCAGAAATCCAGGGCGTCCTGGAGGCGAGCAGGGCGTTTCTTGGCATGGGCTTCCACTGTATCTGGTCTCGGAGCCCACGCGGGTCACAATCTCCACATGCTCGTGCTCGCGGGGGGTCCTTGGGGGTCCACGACGGCCAGCCTGCAAATCGCCTCTTGGTGCCTGGGGCACGCGTGGATCCCGACGGCCTTCTCGACGGAGCAAGGCAATCCCAGCAAGATCCACGCTGCTGGGCGACCAGATCCGCTCGTCCGATGCGCCACCGTGCCCTGTAGATGTTGTGGCGTACATGAATTCCCAGATCTCCATGCGAGGGTTCCTGTATTCGAATGAGCCCCCCCCCAACGAACCCGCAGTTCCCCCCCCGAGGCCACGATCCTTTGATATAAAACGGTGGACCAGCGTTCCTGACGCCACGATCCCTCGACAAACAAAAAATGTGTCCGCATCCTGAGCTTCTAAGACGGTCCAGACAGACAGCCAAGGACACCAAGATAGCCCAAGATGCCTCGAAGACGGCCCAAGATGGCCCCAAGGCGGCCCACTATGGCTACAAAACGGCCCAAGATGCCTCCAAGAGGGCCCAAAAGAGCCAAACGCAGACCTCCAACAAAGTCTAAAGAAGCCGACATCAGTGATCTCCCATTGGTGTTTGAATGGTGTTCGCAGTCTCCCATTTTCAAACTTCAGGCACTCAAGACGGCCCAAGAAGCCTCCACGATGACCCAAGACTGCCCAAGAAGCACCCGAAAACGGTCCCAAAGATGGCCAAAGAGGTCCCACCATGCCCCAAAAGGCATCCAAGACGGCCCCAAGACGGCCCAAGAGAGCCTCCAGTGGGATCCGAGACTGCAGTCGACGGCCCTGCGACGACCCAAGACGGCCCCACGACGGCCCCAGGGAGCTTCCCGTGGGACCCGAGACGGCCGTCGACGGCCGTGCGACGGCCCAAGACGGCTCCACGACGGCCCCCAGGCACCCACATTAAGGCCAAGTGGGCCCCAAGTCGGCCCACGAGAGCCCCAAGACGGCGCAAGAGGGTCCCAGGACGGTCCAAGGGGGACCAAGGGACCCCCAAGACTGCTTCACAGAAGGCCAAGACAGTCCGAAGACGGCCCAACAATTCCCCTACGAAGGAATGGGACCAAAGACAGCCATAGACGCTCCAAACGAGACCCATGAGAGCTCCTCAAATAGTGAAGGCCGAAAGAAAAATGGTACATGTGATGGCCTTCCTCTTCGTATTCGTCATGCGCAGCAGCCTCCTCCTCCTTCTCCTCCTCCTCCTCCGCGTTCTCCTTAGCCTCCTCCTCCTCCACCTCCTCCGCGTCTTATCATTCGTATTAGTAATATTAATATGGTTATGGTTATTGTTAGTGGCACTATTAGCTTTACCATTCTTAATCGTATTGCTAATGATGCTCGTATGTATGGTATTCGTCTTCGTAGTAACAGTCGTAGCATTGCTATTATTGTTAGCCTTAGTTCGCATATAATTATTCTTCGTGCTGTTAACATTATATCAGTATCCTTCTTAGCAGTAGCATTGTTATTACTGCTGCTATTTAGAATTAGTGTTCGCCTTCTTGTTCTTAGTAGCATTATTAGTATTACTATTCTTCTTCTGAGAATTATTATCTGCAGTCCCCCTCCTCCTCCTCCAACTCCTCGATCTCATCCTCCTCCTCCGCATCCTCCTCCTCCTCCTCCTCCTCCTCCCCCCCTTCGTCCTAAAACGTATCAGCAACAATGGCATCATCCGCATCCTCGGTATAAGCACCCATCATCGTCATTATCAGCATCACCAGCAGCATCGACATCATCATCAGCAGCAGCATCATCATCATCAGCGACACCAGCAGCATCATCAGAATCAGCATACTCAGCAGCATCACCATCATCAACATCATCATAATCATCATCGTCGTCATCATCATCAGTATCAGCATCAGCACCATCATCAGCCGCATCACCATCAGCATGATAATCAGCAACATCATGAGCACCATCATCATCGGCAACAACAACAATAACCTCGACATTGTCAGGCACACTAGTGTGCGTCAGGATCATCAGCATCCGAAGCATCGACATCCTCATCATCGTCATGATCGGCATCATCAGTAGCATCATCGTCAGCATCAGCATCGAGCATCAGCATCAGCAGGAACTGCATCATCATCATCATCATCATCATCATCATCTTCACCCGTATTATCATCGACATCATCAGCAACAGCCTCATCAGCATCAGCATCAATAACATCAGCATCCACAGCACATCAGTATCATCAGCATCATCATCACCATCACCATCATCATCATCAGCAACCTCTTCATTAGCATCATCATCAGCATCATCATCAGCATCATCCTCATCATCACCAGCATCAGCATCAGCATCACCATCCCCATCACCGTCTTCGGCAGCAGCATATCATCACCATCATCATCAGCAGCAGCAACAGCATCATGATCAGCAGCCTGGTCATCTGCATCATGGTTACCATCATCATCAGAAGCAGCATTATCATCATCAGCATCGTCATCATCATCATCAGCCACAGCCGCATCGCCAGCATCGTTATCAGCACCACCAACCGCATCATCAACAACAGCATCATCAGCAGCACCATCGTCATCATGAGTGTCATCATCAGCAGCATATTCATTCACATCAGCAGCATAAGCATCATCGCTATCATCATCAGCAGCAGCATCAGCATCGTCATCATCAGCATCATCATAATCTTCATCAGCATCAGCATCATCATCAGCAGCAACATCAACATCAACATCAACATCACCATCATTTCCATCATCATCATCATCATCATCATCATCATCATCATCAGCAACATCATCATCAACCTCGTCGACGGCTTCCCCATCATCGTCATCATTATCCGTATTATCAGCATCGTCATCAGCAGCAACAACTACGTGGCATCGCCATCCCCATCATAATCGTTATCATTAGTATCGTCATCACCACATCATCATCGCCACCAATACCGTCGTCAGCATCATCATCGTCAGCATCAGCATCATCATCATCATCATAATCACCAGCAACATCATCATCATCATCATCATCATCATCATCATCATCATCGTCATCATCAACATCAGCATCTGTATCATCATCAGCAGCAACATCCTCCTCCTCCTCACCATCACGGCTCTCCCAACCTTGAAGACACGAGGTGCCTCCTATCCGCCGGCCCCCTTGTGGGGCCACCAGGCTGCGAGGCGCGTGATTCGCAGTTTCCTGTACCAGTTGTAGTTTGTAGTTTCCAGTGTTACAGTTCTGCTTCTTGCTGGTTACTGTAACTAGTTGATTGACCGCGCGAGGGGGGGGAGGCCCAAACCAGATTTTTAGCACCACCTGGGCGCGTTGTCTGAATTGCTGGGGGGGCTCAAAATCGACACCCCTCACGCAGATCCGCGGGGTCAGGGTCCAAAAACACAGGGGATTTGCCACATTTCTGAAATTCGGTGCCACCCCTCACGCAGATCCGCGGGGTCAGGGTCCAAAAACACAAAGGATTTGCCACATTTCTGAAATTCCGTGCCACCCCTCACGCAGATCCGCGGGGTCAGGGTCCAAAAACACAGGGGATTTGCCACATTTCTGAAATTCGGTGCCACCCCTCACGCAGATCCGCGGGGTCAGGGTCCAAAAACACAGAGGATTTGCCACATTTCTGAAATTCGGTGCCACCCCTCATGCAGATCCGCGGGGTCAGGGTCCAAAAACACATGGGATTTGCCACATTTCTGAAATTCGGTGCCACCCCTCACGCAGATCCGCGGGGTCAGGGTCCAAAAACACAGGGGATTTGCCACATTTCTGAAATTCGGTGCCACCCCTCCGCAGATCCGCGGGGTCAGGGTCCAAAAACACAGGGGATTTGCCACATTTCTGAAATTCGGTGCCACCCCTCACGCAGATCCGCGGGGTCAGGGTCCAAAAACAAAGGGGATTTGCCACATTTCTGAAATTCGGTGCCACCCCTCACGCAGATCCGCGGGGTCAGGGTCCAAAAACACAGGGGATTTGCCACGTTTCTGAAATTCCAACCCATCACGCACATCCATCGCAAGGCGTGGTAACCCAAACTGCGAGAACTCCCTCGGCCCTTTCATCGCAAGGTGTGGTAACCAAGCCCTTAAACCATACACGTCTTACCAATCGCCAGGTGTGGTAACCCCTCTTGTGATCAGTTGGTTTTGCTGATTGCGAATCGGCTTCGCATGAAGTTTCGATACAGCTTCACGACAGCGCCAAGACCTCATGACTTAGCTCTTCCATGGCCCATTCTCCGAGGGAGGGGGCCGGCGGCAGGGGGCGAAGCCCTTACGGATAAGAGAGAGCGTGATCCACTGCCGCTTGACTCTGAAAATTCACCTTTCTCTTCTTCCGGAACCCGAAGGTTCCCCCCCCTCCGCAAAGTTCCCCCCGCCTGCTCGAACCTCACCCCCCTCCCTTTCCCCGGCAAAACCCCCCCTCCCCCCCAACCTT